GGTTGTTCTTACACATTTTGTTTACTGTAATTATATGCCTTCACTTCCTGTGTGAACCTAACCTGGTCATTTCCTTTCTCTTACCTTTGTTATGGGGACTTAGGAATATAATGACCAATGGTAGGAGAGATGGCTGTATTTCTAGTACAGATTATTATACGTTACAAAATTTCTTTCTCTAGTACACATTCTCCAGCTTCTTCTGCAATTTAGTGTAGCTGTGTAACAGTTCTTGAGGGTAGAACAGAAATGATGCAAGGCATTTCTTAGCCTGACCCATAGAGTTTTACCTTGTGATCCTGTATTCCCTCTCTCTGCAAGGCAGGTACGTCTCTTTAATCCTAACAAAACCCATGATATAAGTTCTATTTATTGCAAATATAGAGAACTTAAGTATCTTCCTCAAAAACCACACAGTTGTTTTGGGTGGGATTACAAACCCAGGTAGCCCAAATCAAGAGTCCTGGCGCTTACCCATTGGCCGCTCTCAATAAAGGAAACAGTTTTAGGTGTAGTGCCTGGTACAGAGTTAGTCCTTGATTTATGTTAGCTACTATTTTACAGACAAAAGAAAAATCACAAGAATGTAAATAGTTGAAAGCAAACTTGATTCTAAAATCCTCTTATCGACTAAAATCTTTAGAATATTAAAACAACCTTGTATTTTTAAGTCTGTGGGCCGAAGAAAAAAATAATGAATATCAGGAAAGCTAAATACATTGATTTGATGATCCAAAATATAGTTAATATCTATAGTTTAATAACCAAAATGGCATTTCTAATGAGTATGTTTGTTATATGTAATAGCAAATAACTGCCAAACTCCTTATTTCTCACCAACAAAAGATGAGTGGAATTATATGGCCATTAAGCATGATAGCTCCAAAGACTTTCTAGTGATATGAAAAAAAATGTTCATGATGTAATGTGATTCAATTACATGTCATTTGTTTATTAATTGGGTGAATTCACTAATTCAGAAAATGTCTACTGAGTACTGATTCCATGCTGGGTACTGACTGGGCTAGGAGCTGGCCACATAGTCCTTGCCACCAAAGAGTTGATGGTCTAGCTCTTCAGGGCAGGCATTCTCAACAGACAGGGAGAGAATTCCTTTCCTAGGGCTTAGTTTCCTTATCTATACAACAAGGGGTTGGAGTAGAGTATTGTTAAGGTCTTGTAGCAATTAAGTTCTACAAGAGGAAAAAGGCATAAGACTTTATTTGGCATATTATCATAGTACCATAAACCTATTAACTTAATTTCATGTAGAGTAGCTAATCAGCCAGGCGCAGTGGCACACACTTATAATCCCAGTGGCTTGGGAGGCCAAGACAGGAGGATCGTGAGTTCAAAGCCAGCCTCAGCAAAAAAGCGAGGCACTAAGCAACTCAGTGAGACTCTGTCTCTAAATAAAATACAAAATAGGGATGGAGAGGTGGCTCAGTAGTCGAGTGCCCTGAGTTCAATCCCTGGTACCAGAAATAAAGTAACCAACCATCTCTACATTCCTGAGACTGAGTTATTTCCTGAGATGTGGGGACACTTTGGATTAAAACCCAGGGTCCTAGGAAAACTCAGATGGATGGTCACCTCAGTTCCATGTCAAGTTATTAGGCTTAAGATGTAATATTATTTTTAATTATAGAAACCTTAATTAATGCCTTTTTTGTGTTGGAAGGATCTCATATGCAGTATAAAGCTAGAAGAACAGGGACTATGTGTAAGTAGTAAACCCACTCAATTGTCAAAAATGTTTAGAGAAACAACACATTTGGCATGAAGGTTAATAACTCACAACATACCACTCACATAATTACAAGTTGCATACTTATCAACTTCTTAAGAGCTTGGAGGTGGTTGTTTTAAAACTAGAATATTAGTTCAGAGACTGGAAGGAACACCGACTACCAGCACTCTTAATATTTCAGTGAGAGAGAGAGACATATTTTTAACTTCTGAAAATTGTGGTTTTAAATGGCATATTATAATTTGGTTCTCAAAATACAGTGTTCTTTTAAAGATTATTCAAATATGATCACCCTCTAAAGTTTCATCTTTCTTTTTTTCCCCTCATTTACCACAGAGGTCAGTACCAATTATAATGTTCCTTCAAGTCAATGCTTCAGATTCTCAAGGGGATTGTAGGGGAATGCACAGGGCTTTGGAGCATCCCAACACAGCCAACTCTTCAACAGTAACACCTTGCTCTCCTGGGAACTCCTGGGCCCTTCCCTCCAATTCCATTCTCCTTCAAAGACCCCAAGGTCTTCTACCATGCCTTAAAGAAATAAATTGTAAGACAACAACCTTTTTTTTTACTCATTAATAAATTCAGGACCCCAGGACTGAGTGAGCTCACTAGGAATAATTCAGACGGATTTGAGGACTCAAAGCAAGAAACAAGCAAATGTGGTTGTTATGTTGGTTCATGGGGTATCTCCTCTGTATTCACCCAGGTGGCAAAGGGCTATAAAGTAGCAGTTCATAAAACACTCCCCAAATCCCTTCCCAAATTTGAAAATGGCAGTTTCTAAAATTCAAACCAGTTAACTATGAAGACAGTTCATCAAATCTCCAATAACTAGATCAAATTTCAGACTCTTACCTTGCTAGGCCTCATCCCTCTGTGTTGGGATGCTCCAAACCCCTGTGCATTCCCCCATAGTCCCCTTGAGAATCTGTCCTCTTCTCTTACAGCTATCTTTTCCAGTACGGAGACATCCCCCACACCAAACACACACACACACACACACACACACACATCTTCCTAATGCTCCTTCTACCAGGAGCCAAATAAATGCAGGATCAAGTAGAAATAAGCAGAGCTCCCTTTCACACTCTTGCTTGGGGGAAGAGGGGAATTAGCTTAAATAAATGATAAGCTGATTTAAAAAGGAATGAATTGAACAGCAGGGAGACTGAGGCCATTTCTGTCACGGGAGCTGAGAGTGCCTGTAAGATATTCAGTCACATGAGTCAGTTGTTAGAATCCCCATGCCACCTGCCTGACCTGATGTCTTGTTTTAATCTTCAAACCTGCCTGATAATGTCTAGTGTTTACATTTGTCAAGTGTTTACTGTATACCAAGCTCTTCCCTAAGCATTTTTCCTACCCTCACTTAACTAGCACAATCCTCTGGGATAGGTACTGTTATTAATCCCACTCTAGAGCCAAGAAAACTAAGGCTTAAAGAGGTAAAGTGACTTGCCCACAGGGACCCAGCTCATAAATTGCAGTGCTGGGATTTAAAGCAATGCTGGCCTGATTTCAAGGCTCACACACTGGTGTCTGCCTCCTACCATTCTCAAGAAATCTCTTCCAAAACTCAGAAGCGATTACCAATCTAGCCTCCTAGGACTAACTCCTCACCATCGTTTCTTAGCTTTGGCTGCCTTCTATCGCAAGACCTACTGTATAAAATTCCACATACAGAAACATCATCTCTTCTCTCTTGCAGTTCCAGGTAGACAAACTGGAAAACATGAAGGAGGCTCCCTAGTCTTTTTGAATGATCAGATTCAATTCAGTATTTCCACAATTGGTCCACTGTCTTTCAGGCAAATTCCAAACTATATCTGCACCAAGAATGGCAAGAAATAATAGGCGTGTAATGACACTTGGGTAAAGTTCTAGGCTCAACTGACTTTGAAAGTTCTTACATCTTATTATTTATAGGCAGCAATGGTTCTTTTTGTCTAGCTATCTCTCTCTCTTCTTCACCTATCTTCTAACCTGAATAGGATCATTATCTTTCCACAGAGCCTCCTAAGGGGCACCGTGTGGCCTGTTGTTATCTACGTGACATTTGCAGGATATCATGGAGCAGATGAACACAGAAGGGAATCAAATATGTATTAGATTTCTAGGCAAGACACCAAGAAATGCTACAGGAATCAAGAACCTAAGATTATTGTTATTGAATTTATCCTGCGGCTTCAAAGAATTCAAAAGTTGATTCTGTAATAACGTATTCTTCCAAATTCCCCAGAAGTTCTCTGCTCAGATATCATGAGGAAATGGAATCCCATTCTCTTGTCCAAAGTTATTCAGTACTGAAGGGCTAATGATGCTCTAGCTTAAAGTTGATTCCCCCAATACTGTGTATCAAGGGTTTCTCTTGAGCTGGGCTCTGCGCTGCCACTTTGAAGTTGAGACTCACGTGGATAGCTCTGTCTCCACAGACCTATTTGCATCCTTTCCTCCCACCCTTGATCTCAGACACCTCTCGCTGCATTTTTATTCCCCCGGTGAATTTGAACACAACTTTCATACATCACAAATCAGAAAGCTGCAATTTCGAAGTTTCATATACGTTTGCTGAAAGCCTCCTTAAATGGGAAGTGGATTCACCATTCACATTAAGTGTCCAAATACTACTTTCCGCGACAAGGACAAGGACCAGGTCCACCACCGCAGGCACGCCCCACCCGGGCTTGTACACCCTGCCCACGGAATCACCCCACATTTTAAAACGAAGGGTCTGATTTTATATTGAAACTTGACTCTATCTCGGGCTGAAATTTGGTCTGCCTCTCAGCCCCTGAGCCCGAGTTCGACGTTGTGCAGAGAGGTAGTAGCCCCATGGTGCCCGGCTGGCCTTTTTACACGCTCATTTTCTCTACATTTTTTCCCCCTTTTTGCTAAGAAACGGCAGTGTGCTTCGTTCGCTTCCCTAACCCGGTCGCAGCCTGTCGTCCCCTAGACAAAATGCGGCAGCCCGTGGCTCCCTGCAGCCGCGGTGGCGGCGGCTGCACAGCGCGCAGCCCGGCCACCCGAGGCCGGTCGCGCTGCGCCTTTGTTGGGCCGGCTACAGATGGTGCCCCAGCACGGGGCTGAGCCGAGGGCGGGTGTGGGAGGCCGGGAAGGGGGTCGGGAAGGAGGGGAGGACTCGGCAGAGCAGCCAATCGGCGCACAGCCCATCAGCTGACCGCTTTTGCTTACACCAGGTGCACGCCGGCTGCGGGGAGCACAAAGCGCGGCGCACCGAGGGCGCCGGCAGCGAGCCGGTGAGCGAGGCGAGGCCCGTGCGCCCGCGGCTGCAGCGCCTGCCGGGCGGGGAGAGAGGCCGGCGGCGTCAGCCCGGGCGGCGGCATCCCTAGGCGCCTGGGGCGCCCTCCTCGGACCAGCCCGCTCGCCACCCTGCCCTCTGCACCCAGTTCTCTCGCGTTCCTTCCCAACCCCGCTCGCTCCTACCCCGGCCCCCCAAGAGCCGGATTTAGCCCAGCCCCGCGCAGCAGCTGTTGCTCCCGTAGCTGCCTCGCCTCGGGTCTCGGTGCTCTGCCGGGGGTCCCCCGAGGAGCCGGTGCGCGCTGCGGGCTGGGAGGGAGGCGCCGCTCAGCGGATCCGCCTCCTCTTTCTCCTCCTGCCGCTGCTGCTGTCGCCGTGGGTGCCCGGCCCGTGCGCACCCCAACACCCCCGCCGGCCGGGCCTTGGGGTAAGTGCACTACCCAACCGGGCCGCAGCGGGAGGTGTGGGAGGCAGCCGGGGGGAAGTCGGGGCAAACTTGTCAGCGTGGCGGACCCCAGAAGGTCTGGGGGACCCTGGGATAAGATCGCGGGCCTAAGGGGGATGAGGGGGCGCGGCTCGTGGAGATATGGAAAATGACGAAGTCGGGAAACGAGATTCTAGTTATTTTCCCCTCCTAAAACAAAACCGAACATCACCAACAGCGAAACCCGGGGTAGCGAGGCCAGACTGAAATGGGCAAAAGGCGGTGGCCGGAGCCCAACCGGTGGATTTCGGGGACCCGCCGGGGGGAGGGTGGTGCCCGGGAATGGGAAGGAGGAGGAATGGAATTGGGGTGTGAATTGGGGAAGGCAGCTGGGACCCGAGCGGAGCGCGGAAAGGGGGCCAAGAGAAGGGAAAGGAAGGTGGCTGATCATGGGTAAAGACAAGAGGAAAGAGGTCTTGCGATGTCCTTGTCGCTGTGAGAAAGGGGCAAGGGGCGTCATTCACAAAGCAGTTGGGGTATTGAAGTCAGCGTTAGGAAGAAGGTGCTCAACTACCCGGCAATCTAACGGGGGAAAACCCTCCCCCTGTACATTCTGAGTCCAGAAGGGGTGGCAGCCTCAGGAAGCTCGCCAGGGATGCTGAAATGTCAGGGAAGTCCTGGTCCCCTCCAGGATCGGAACCGGCGCGGGGTTCCCGGCTCGGTCAGGGTCAGAAGCGGGGAAAGTTTGCCAGCGAGTGTCCTTTGTGCTGCGTGCAGAGGGGTGTGGGCAGCCGCTGGACTCACGCCGCGCTTCCTAGGATCCCGCGGTGACCGCCTCCTGCGGAGGGAGTTCCTGCCTAGCAAGCTGGGGCTGGGTGGAAAAGTCCAGCAGCTTAAAGGGCGCCCCGCACCCAGGGCAGGTGGGAAAGTCTGTCCTGGGACGGCTGCGAGAGAGCAGGCGTGGATACTAGGACCCACAGACTTGGGGAGATCCTTGTTTGCCATATTCACCTCTGTAGCCCCAGCGCCAAGAACAGTGCGAGTGAGTGAGAGGAGGAAGAGAAATGGCTTTGAGACCCTGGAACCACACAGGCAAAGTGCAAAAAATCCGGAATATGGACTCTATATCCTATCCCATCATTAGTATTTTCATTCCTTGACCCGAATAATAAAACCGGAATTCAAATTAGGCAAGGGAGCAGGTACTGAGGACTTGAGTTTTTGCGTGTAGGCTTTCCTGCGGGACAATATGTTGTTGTTTTGTTTTGTTAATTTGCTTTGCCACCAGAGTCTGGATGATGATGATTATTACTCAGATATGATCATTAATCATTGTCAAAGCTAGGAGCAGAGGAGTGGAAAGTTCAGGAAGATTCATACTTTGATCCTTATAAATCTAGAGGGAAAAGTGGTGTTATTGGCTCCAGGGCCATGTGTGTCCCCAAGTCTCTGATTTGCATGCAAATGTGAGCAGATCCTGGCAGATGTCTGGCCTCATCCATTCACACGAAGGAATTTGAACAGACAAGGAGCCTTCAGTTAACAATAGACCTTAAGAAAATGGTATAAAGGGGCAGTGTGAATTTTTCTGTTTGGGAATTCCATGGCTTGTTGACACCTTTATGTTAGAGCCAAATTCTTTGAGTGGTATTATTTTGGAAAGCCCAAAGTCTGTTTGCTCTTTACCTGGCTGTATGTATTTGTCCAACATTCGAGCTGGATATTCTGAGCTAGTTAAGGAAATTGTTTCCATGAAGCAGAGAATAACTTGAATCCACTTTCGGTGGCTTTGAAGTGATTCTTGAATTGACTTTTCAACTTTTGGAGTTTCTTTTCCTTTTCTTTGAAAAATAGGACTTTGTGCTCATACTTGTTCCCCATCCTCAGAGATAAGTAGTTGAAGAGAAGATAGTTGTCCCAGACCAACCAACAGGAAGGTCTCACTACAGTGTCTGCTGTTCTGTCACAATTTGGGTCCTTAAGGCACTAAACTTGTACGAGTGCCGTTCCTAGTAACAGGAGTGGATTTGGGGTCACAGCAGAGAACAACAAATAGGGAGGCAATCATGCAATGAACCCCCAAAGCAAGGGCCTTCCTGCCTGATCTAACCTTAGCTGATCAACCAACCACACTGCACAGTTCACCTCCTGGCATTGTGTGACCCAGGAACAAAAGGCCCTGTGGGCCACACGTGAGGCCAGCAATTCTACCTCCTGACACACCAGCACCAGTGGCCTCTTCTTTTGTCAGTCTCAAACACTGTTGAAGGGAAAAAGACCCTATTCACTGAACAGCATTTGCCCCTGTTTTCTATATATTCACTGAAAGGGACATTAAAATACCACCAAAAAAAAAAAAAAAGATAACATTGTTTTGGAGGGCTCAGTGATTGGGAGGAGGGGTGGACAACAGATGTTGGTCTTCTATTTTGTATTTCCTGAAGTTATTTTTGCTGGTTCAGTGCCTTTAACACATAATGCAGGATGTGCCATGAGGGAAAAAGAAAATGAATTGAGTCTCATTTCAGTAAGAAAATGTTATAGCCAAGTTTGCATTTTCTGTCTTGGAGCTATATAGAAGTCAGAAAGTAACAAATCATTGTAATAAACTCTTATGTGACTCTTAAACCTGGGATTCTGTCTTCCTGATGGAGTTGAAGGATAACTATAAAATAAAAACAGCATTTCTAAACTAAGACTGCATACCTTTTTGTTGTAAAGTTATCATCTAGGTATTTTCTTGAAACAAAATACCAAAGCTTCATATTTGTGAATCTTTGTCTTTGGCTATTATCCTGTCTTTGTGAGATCTTTATTGTGGAAGTCGAATGAAAGGAAAGATTAGGGAGTTCATTCCTTGGTCAATAAAAGTAGTTAATTATTAGAAAGAATCACTCTGCTACATAAAGGAATCTCAGGCCAGATCCAACTGCAGCCTGTGCCTCTGAAGCATAATCACAGGTGGCTCTGGTTAGTGTTTGAAATTCTAAAATAAAGCAAGGGGAAACGCCACCATTCATCTGTCTCTGGTCAGACGCTGCTAACCCTGAATTCTTGACTTGAATGGCCAGAGAATCACCATATATTCTTTAGCAGAAATACACAAGGGAGTACATCAAATATTTTCTAAAAATCTGCCTCTACAGAGTTATATTGCTACTTTCCCCAAGCCAACTGACTATAAGAAATTATAAATAATCAGAACTGTAGGTTTTTAATACCACCTTAAATAAGCCATAAGCTACAAATAAAATATGGCAAATTATAGGATTTGAATGTCATTTTTACGAGATTTCTACAATGCTTTCTTTAAGTTCATTTTTAAGCTGCAAAATAATAGTTATCTGGGTGATTCATTTGAGCACTAATGTAAGGTTGCTCAAATATTGTATTTAATTTTTTAGAGTTATTATGCAGATCTTCTATTTTGGGTTAAGCCAATCCGAAGATAAAGCAAATTCCATTTTAGAAGCATATTTTGGTTTCTGGGAACAATGGAAGTATCTTTAACTCATGAATAGAGCTTTGATTAATATTTTATTCAGGATGAAATTATAATTATATAGACGAAGTCAGAAAACATGTATTCTCTCTTGTTTTGGCCAAAGTTCAGAAGAGAGACTAAACTTAAAACTCTAGCTGTAAAACTCAATATTTTAGTGACCAAAGGAATCATTTCTTCTAAAAGGTATTCTAAAGTGAAGTTTTCTTTTAAATTTTTCTTGTTTCAGAATATAACCAATTATCTACTTAATGGATATGTTAGGCTATAGCCTCCACATTTCTAAAAACAGATAAGGTCACAAGTGGTTATTGACATTGCATTATAATCCATGGATATATGTGTGTGTGTGTGTGTGTGTGTGTATACACACACGTGTGTATAATATATATAATAATATGTTTCAGTGTTTTTTAAAGGAAATACTATGCAGGATTGCATGCTCCTCTATTTTTAACTTTTTATATGTTTTCAAAAGCTCTAGCAAAATAAGGATGTTATTTGCAATTTTATTTGGTTGGTAAGCAAGCTATATTACCTAGTCATAGAACTTGGATCATTTTCTGAATTGCCAGCCTTCAGATTTCTCAATTATAACCCAGTAGGCATGGGCTAATAAGGTTGGAAGGACTAACTGACTACCATAAGCAGATTGCTAGAAGGTTTATAGAAGCACTACCTCCAGTACTACAACTGACATGAACATCACATCAAATATACTGAAAATCATCCCTGAAATGTAAAGGAGAGAGGTTTACAATGATACACACCAAAGGCCCTGTCCACCTCGACTTCAGAGTCCCCTCTAAAGATGCCACTATATTAGCGTGAGACACTCGGTTTAGAAAGCTGTGCGGTGAAAACTGCTTTTATAGTGGCTTATTGCCTTCCATTTGCACTCTTTATAGCTCAGAGGTTGGAATGTTATTTGAAAGCTCTGATTAATATAAATGAGTTGTAATTTGGTGACCCGGGCTGTCCTAGCTCACATCTATTATACCGCTGGCAGACATGTGGTCTCCACAGCTGTCCCCTCATTTGTGTATGAAGCAGACACACTGGTGGCATTTTTCGGTTACCATAGCTACATTTACAATGTACATGTGACATGACATCTTCCTGTGTGAAAGGTTTTTATGTGGCAGAAATTTAGTCGACCTGGGAGTGAAAAGTACAACTACTGAAAGTTGGAAGAGCACAGCGATGAATGTGCCATTGTTCTGGAGCTACCTTCTCAATTATGGGAGGAGAATCTTCCTCCAGGAGCATCCAGGAAAGGGCAATCACCAGCCTTTGCCTAACAGAGATTTCCAAGGGAGGTATTTCCAACAATGCCTAACCTCTGCAGGAGAATGTCCATTAAATATTCATTTCAAAATATTTGCTCTTACTGTTTATGACTGTCCTTTGTGGGATAATGGATTAGCAGAGTCATTTTCAATTCAGACAGGGAGACCTGAACAGCATCTATCTCAGTGAGACCTAGGAGACCTCCCCACCC